AACATAGGTATATGAATATGTTCACATTCACATTGACTTCCTCAGTGGAGACAGAAGAAATTGGTAGTTGTGGCTGACACTGGGGAGAGGAATCTGAGACAAAAGGGGGATCTGTTTTCCACTGTAGACCTTTCTATACTGCTTGATTTTTTCTTTGCTTTGCCATGGGCATATATCAATTTTTTTTAAAAGAAAAAAGGCAATCTTTCATAAACCTTACTGTGACAAATGGTAAATAATGAAATATGTAAATCAAACATTGCAGAAAACACAAGGAGAAATAGATGGAAATGTAGTAGTCATGGCAATCCTCTTTCTGGTTTTGATGATGGAGCAGACAAAAAGTAGGACTATGGAAAGCAATTTTCAACAGTCTGCATATTAAAAGCATTTTGGGAGCTCCTTTAGAAAAGCATTTTTATTTCAAACACATGTAAAATAGATTAGTCTGATGAACTCACATGACCCACCATCCAACTTCAACACTCAACAATTCAAGACCAACAAATTCCCCATCCACTTTCCCACCCCCCCCTTTTTTTTTTTTAATATATTTTATTGATTTTTAACAGAGAGGAAGAGAGAGGGATAGAGAGTCAGAAACATCGATGAGAGAGAATCATCGATCAGCTGCCTCCTGCACACCCCCTACCGGGGATGTGCCCGCAACTCAGGTACATGCCCTTGACCGGAATCGAACCTGGGACCCTTAAGTTCGTAGGCCAATGCTCTATCCACTGAGCCAAACCGGTTTTGGCAACTTTCCCACTTTTTTATTGAAGCAAATTCCAGAAGTCATATCATTTAATCTATAAATATTTTTTCTGGTGAATAGCTCTAAAAAAATAAGAACTGTCTTTAAAGACCATAATCACAATACCATAACTATTTTAAAAATAAATTCATTAGTACAATAAAATAATTAGTACAATATCATTGTCACACCTAAAAAAAATGACAGTAATTCCTTCATCAAAGATTCAGTATTAAAATTTTTAATTGTTTCATAAATGTCCTTTTAAAAAATTTCTTTGTTTGAATTAGAATCTGAATAAAAACCACACACACTGATTATTTGATGTGTCTCTCAAGTCTGTTATAAACTATACATTACCTGGGGATCTTCTAGAAAATACTGTTGTTCAGGCTTCTTCTTGACAATGTTGAATTGAGCCCTCTGTTCCTGGAAAATAGTGATAGTTAAGACACACACACACACACACAGCCTTGTCTGCGTTCTAGAAAAGACACTGCAAAGAACCATCATTTTCCATATGACTTAGGTAAGACTCACATAGCCCCCCTCATTTACCTATGACAAGGCCAGTCACAAACCCTTGAAGTTCCCATTCTTTGTCTCATAAATAATTAGCTGAACTGCTTGTTCCACTGAGCAATCAGGACAAAATGCGTGTTAGCCAAATTTTGGTTAAGATCCTCTCCTTCTGCCAGGTCTCTGAGTTTAGTCCCACTCTCAGCAAGAGCCAGCACACAGCTAACTCCTTCTTAACCTCTCCTGAGAAAAGGCTGACCTCAGAGTTAAACATTCTCTGACCTGCTATCCCATCAGGTCACTCTTGTTTTTTCTAGTCTTGTTTACTCCTCTATACTGTAAATGAAAAATTCTTTTTGCTTAACAGGAGATGGTATGTATGGTCCGAGCTTCTCCCAATGCAGTAGACATCCTCCATCTATTGAAGGTCCCTCCTACCCTTTTCCCCCTCCCACCCTTTTCCCCCTTGCAGTCATCCTTTCCAAATAAAGTCTCTCCATAAATTTGGATTAAAAAAAAAAGTGACAATTCCAAGAACTTTTGATGTTATTAATATTTTTCTGTAGTTTATTATAATATGAAATGAGATTTGAGGACCTCGGCTTAGAGGATGTGAATAGTACAATTGCTAGGATAATCTAATACACACATGTCTGTGTTAGTCTCTGTTCCTCCAGAAAGCAAGTACTGAGGCGAGTCTTGGTGTAAATGGTTTATTTAGGAGGTAATCTCAGGAAGCACAAGAAAAAGCAGGGACAGCGAGACAGAAAGGAGGAAAACCACATCCAGGATGCATAAAGGAGTGGGCTTTCTGCTGTGGATAACAAGCTCAGTTCCTCTGGGGAACATGTACAATCGCCCTTCAGATTTGACCTCTCCAGATGACCGTCCTGTGGAGGTAAGTTGGGTATGTTTTCAGCCACACTGTTGCTCACTGAATGTATAAAGTGGCCATGAGCCAAAACCGGTTTGGCTCAGTGGATAGAGCGTTGGCCTGTGGACTGAACGGTCCCAGGTTTGATTCCAGTCAAGGGCATGCACCTTGGTTGCAGGCACATCCCTGATAGGGGGTGTGCAAGAGGCAGCTGATCGATGATTCTCTCTCATCGATGTTTCTAACTCTATCCCTCTCCCTTTCTCTCTGTAAAAAATCAACAATGTATATTAAAATAATAATAAAGTGGCCATGACATCAGGGAATTATGCCAGGCATAGACTTTTTGTCATGAAGATTGATCTGGCTATTGCTACTGTATAGTGTGCAATATGCCAACAGCAAAGGCCCATGCTTAGCCCCTCATATGACATCACCCCCTTGAGGGAAAAGCCAGACACCTGGTGGGAAGTCAGTTATACTGGAACCCTTATTGTCAAGCAGGTAGAAGCACAGAGTGACATTATGAGAGTGAGGTATGGGTTGGAGGATGAGAACGAAGGGTGGACCACACTGATCCTGTGCTTTATGCCTCGCCCTGTCCCTTCTGTGATTGCCTGGGGCTTGCCCCCTGCTAGCTTCATTTTCCAGACCCCCATGTCAGCTGGCCTCTGGCTGATTCAGCCAATGGGAGGCGCTACTGGGAGCCTGGAGAAAAAGAAAGGAAGCCAGAGAACTTCTTTCTCCCTTGCTTCCTCTCTGCCTCATTTCTGGCAGGGACCGTGTTTCTTCCATAGTCTAGTTATGGCACAGCCAAAGTTGGTGTATGTGAGTTTGTATGTGTGTTAAGTCTTTGAAACGTGTCTCTGGACCACTACTTTTACTATATCTGCCAAGAAAAAGAGAATTGGAAGACACTGTTAAGGATGCAGTCTATTAAAAGTGGTTTTCTCTAAATGGTGACATTATTGATAACTTTTCGTTATCTGGTTATTTTTTTTTAAAAGAAAAGGATGCTCCCTCTCACCTCCATTAGTGCTCTTTGATGATCAGTGCAAATTGTCACCTGGTATTTATTTTCATGGGTCCCTAATTGCAGCTAATCAAGCATTTACCTTTGCATTTATAAGCTCTTACTGCAGGTACATTTTTAGCCATCCTTAGTAAAGACACATAATTGCAGTAGAAACCATAGAAATGAGCATAAGCAAAAGTAAGAGATGAGGATCATCACTTATTACTTAGGCATACTTCCTTTTTTTCTAAGCTACATAGAGACCAGGAAGCGAAAACAGATTCTTAAGTAGAATTTATGAAGCAGGGAAGCGGGTGGCAGGGAGCCCAAATAAAAACATCATGGCATTTGCATGTAAAGAAGCCCTACCCAGTACACTAATTTTATTCAACAAATAGAATTATGTATTATTTAATTTGTAAATCTCAAAGACCAAATATTTTTTTTCTAAAATGTTCTTATTTCTATTTTTAAAGGTAAAAGAATTATCTTGTCTAGATCAGTCTGACCTGTTTTTGCTATTCAGAATAGTATTGGGAGAACATATGATAATTTTCAGACTTAATTGTAACCTTGGTGACCATCAAGTGCAGCCCTCTTATTCAACAGGAAATTGAGACCAAGTGCTTTGTTAGATGAGTAAGTGGCAGACCTAGAACCACAAACCATCCTCTTGACTCTATCTTCTCTGCTTCCTATAAATATTAGTGGTTCTCAAGTGAACAGTGGTTTTTCTTCAAGCCACATGTATCCCTTCTCAGCAACCCTGCTTTGTGATTCTTTATGCCTCTTCCCTAGATTGAGAATTTTCTGCTTCTTAAATCAAAATTTGAAATCCCAAATGTACTGTGATTGTGGTCTCTGAATCAAAAGACTAAACTGCGTGCTCTCTCTCTCTCTCTCTCTCTCTCTCTCTCTCTCTCTCTCTCTCTCTCTGTCGTTTATGAAATAGGACTTTAAAAATTTTATTTTAGAGGGAGAGATAGAAACATCTATAAGCTGCCTTCTGCGTGCCCCCTACTGGGGATAGTGTCCCAAACCCAGGCATGTGTCCTGACCAGGAATTGAACTGGCAACCTCTCTGTGCATGGGAGGACACTCAGACAACTAAGCCAAAGCAGTGTTTTCAAAGTTGAGGGCAAGCCCGGCCAGTATGGCGCAGTGGTTGAAGGTTGACCTATGAAGCACAGTTTGATTCCGGTCAGGGCACATGCCTGGGTTGTGGGGTTTATCCCCAGTAGGGGGTGTGCAAGAGGCAGCCAATCAATGATTCTTTCTCATCATTGATGTTTTTCTCTCTCTCCCTCTCCCTCTCTGAAATCAGTAAAAAAAAATATTTTTTAAAGACTTAAAAAAAATTGAGGTCAAGAAAAACAACAACACTAGAACTTCTACTTGTATTATATTTTTTCCTTTTTCAGTTTTTATCTTAAAGTTATACATGATTAAAGTCAAATAGCTCTATAGGACTCCCTGGGAAAACACTAGCCCCTCTTCTCCATTTCCCTCTCCCCAGAGGCTACCACTTCCAATTCTTTTCTCAGGCTTTTATGATTTATTTCATTCCATATCTCTAAATGACATGATTATATTTCTATATCTTCTTTTTCTTTTTTTTAATATATATTTTATTGATTTTTTACAGAGAGGGAGAGAGAGGGATAGAGAGTTAGAATCATCCACGAGAGAGAAGCATGGATCAGCTGCCACCTGCACACCCCCCACTGGGGATGTGCCCACATGCCCTTGACCGGAATCGAACCTGGGACCTTTCAGTCTGCAGGCTGATGCTCTATCCACTGAGCCAAACCAGTCTCGGCTATATCTTCTTTTTTCAGAGTTAGTTATCTATTGACTTCCTACTGCACAAGATAAGGATTTGGTGTTTTATTATAAAGCATATAATTATAAAGAATAGCCAGATGGAAGAAATGCATAGGACTAGGTATGGGGGAAGGGGTGTGGAGCTTCCATGCCCTGCCCAGGTGCACTAGCTTTCTGAACTCTGCCCTTTGGCTTTTTATGGTGGCTTCATTATGGAGGCATGATTGACTACATCTTTGGCCTTTAGTGATGACTTCAGGGGTCAGAAGGTGGGGCTGAAAGTTCCAACCCTCTAATCTCATGGTTGGTACTCCCTGTCAACCATCCCCCATCCTGAGGCTATAGGGACTTTCCAAAAATCACCCCATTAACATAAACTCAGATGTGACTGAAAGAGGCTGGCTAAAAAACGACAGACGTATCCAGGTCAGAAGCAGCAGTGCCTCCTAGAGTTGGTTGTAATGTGGACAGTAAAATCAGAAATGGAGCTTAACCTCAGTAGATGGCAGTAGTCACAAAGCAGATACTTGTGGAGTTTTGTTCTTTGTTTTTCAGTACTTTAGCTTTAGGTGTTGAACACAGCCTACGGCTTAAACACGCAGGCTCTGGAAACCACAGCCTGGATGGACCCTACAGTCCTCAGCCAGCATCACCTGGGTTGCAGGTGACCACCTTTGGCAGGGATGGACCATTCCCTCTTCTCCCGGTGTAGTCCTTTTACCCAGAAACCGCAATGCTGACTCCTGTTCATGAGCTCAGGGGAGTCTTATTATCAAAGTAATTACTATAGGAATTTGCAAAATGAAGGTCATACCAACCCGAAATGCTTAGTAACAAATTCTTATAAAGCTAGTCCCCGCTTCACACTTCCCTCTGGTTTAACACTGGCATCCATCTTCCCCCAACGATAATGTCAGACGTTTCACTGTGATTACTATGCCAACCAGTTGCAAAGTGAAATGGCCACTCTTGCAAAAGATGTGGGATTTTACTAAGATACTGAAAGTGATGGTGGAGGACTGATTCAATAATTATTAGGAAGTCTCCAAGAAATGAAGATTTGGCAGAGTTTTTTTGGTCACAAACGGGAGAGAGAAAATCAGCTTAGATAATGACGTACTGGAGACTTCAGGAAGGGATGATCAGAAAAGGGATAAAGCCTTTGACTATTTTGCAAAATTTACTTTCTTTACTGTGAAGGTCCAATGAGAAGTGACAGGTGTCATATTTTTCTATCTTACAAATTTCCCCCCTGGAAAAAGCATTCCCAAAACATGTCTTGATTCACTGTTATGTTCTAAGAATTAGTTCACCGTTGCAGTAATAATAAAAATGTGGTTAAATATAAAATAAATTTACTACCATAATTTTTAATTCTTTTAAAGATAAAGCCCCAATTCACACTCCCCCCTACTTCCCACTATTTATTATAAACTCTTGCTTCCCATTTAAATAGATTTTTTTAAAGTGACCTTTTCCTAAGACCAATTATCCTCAAAAGGTTTTTTTTTTTTTTTCCTAAAGAACTCCTTAATTGTACCCTATAAGAGCATATAGGGCCCACTAGGCATGAAAGCATTTTGAACGTGCTGTGTTTTTGGTTAGCGGAGATTGCAACCCTGGCTCCAGATCGTTGGCCCAGCTCCCTCCCTCAAGAGGAGTGAGGTTTCCTCATGAGAGTGGTATCTGCTTGTCCCAGACTTGAATCAAGGAAAGGCTGGGCTGGCTCACAGAAACTGCTCTCAGGGCTTCGTGAGAAATCCAGCTGCTGATGTAACTGGCTGTTCTTCCTCTCCTTAGCACTGCAGCCACATTTCTTAAAAAGCAGTACATGTATAAATAAAAGATGTACAAGGTGAACCAATTCTTAGGAAGCAGGGGAGGCATTCATAGTAATCACAGTGAAACTCCCCGTTTCATGGGAGGGGATTGTTAAATCAAATATTTTCTCTTGGGAAGGGGATTATTAAAATCCTTCCCTCCCCATCCATAATTTATAGACATTTAATGTATTTATTTTATAAATTAGGTGGCAAAGGTGATAGCAGGAGATCAGCTAGGAGACCATTGCAATAACTGAGGTGGGAATTGGTGGTCACTTACACCTAGGTGGAACAAAGGAAGTGTTAAGACTGATTGTCTTTGAAGATAGATCCAACATTTACCTTGATGCATTGGATATGTGATATGAAAGAAAGAGGAGTAAAGGATGATTCTTGGTTTTTGTTTGTTTGTTTGTTTGTTTGTTTGGCTACTGAAAGGACTGAGTTTCTGTCAAGGGACATGGGGAATACCAAGTGGTTTGAGCATGAAAAAATCCTATAGTTTAGCCTTTGATGTGTGAAGTTCAAGATGTCTACTATATATCCCAGTGGAGATATCAAATAGGCAGTTGAAAATATGCGTTTATAGATTAGGAGAGAGTTACAGGCTGGAGATATAAATTGATTGTCAACAGCAGATAGATGGTAGTTGACGGATGAGACGACTAAGGGTGGTAGAGGAGAGAAGAGGCCCAGGATGGAATCCAAGGGCACTAATATCTTAAGATCTTGTGGAGAATAGGAGGACACAAAAATGAAGAATGAGTAAGAGCTGCCAGAGAGGTTGGAAGAGAACTAGAAGAGTGTGGTGTATATATAAAAAAAGGTGTATATGAAAAAAGAGAATGATCAACTGTCTTCTGCAGCTAAATTATCAAAGATGTGGACTGGGAAATAGTCATCAGGTTTAACAACTTGAACTTCACTGGTGATTTAACTTGAGAAGTTTTGTTATAGGGATAGAGGCAAAGGACTCATTTGAATGGGTTCAGAGAAAACAAGAGGAAAGGAATTGGAGAAAGTAAGAATTGACAACCCTTTTGCTGCAAAGGGAAGTAAAGAATTGGGGCAGAAACTGGCAGGGGATGTGGAGTCAGAAGAAAGTTGTTTTTGTTTTTGTTTTTTGTTTTTAAATATATTTTATTGATTTTTTACAGAGAGGAAGGGAGAGAGCTAGAGAGCTAGAAATGTCGATGAGAGAGAAACATCGACCAGCTGCCTCTTGCACACCCCCTACTGGGGATGTGCCCGCAACCAATGTACATGCCCCTGACCGGAATCGAACCCGGGACCTTTCAGTTCACAGACTGATGCTCTACCATTGAGCCAAACCGGTTTCGGCGAAAGTTGTTGTTTTTTATTAACATGAGTAAATGACAACATGTTTGCAACCTGGTAGATAGAAATTATTCATTAAAGTGGAAGACATTTTTGTTGCAGAAGAGAAAAAGGGAGAAATGATGAAACTGTGTTTCTGAAGTTATAAGAGGGGATGAGACATGGGCACATGTGGAGGGGCTGGATCTAGATAGGACCATGGAGAGTCCATCCAAAGTAAAGAGGGGAGTATGGTTAGCTTTTGTGGTGTAACAAATCACCCCAAAACTTAGTGGCTTAGCGGGATGGTTGGTTCTTATCTGGGCTATCTTGACTGATCTTTCCTGAGCTTGCTGTGGTTAGCTGGTAGATTGGCTGGAAGTTGGATGATTTCAGATCATCTGATTGGCACTCATATATTATATATCTGGCAATTATCTGGTTGTCAACTGGGTGCCTCTTTGTTTCCCACATGGCCTCTTGTCTGCTGGAGGCTAGCTTGAACTTGTTTACATGGTGGTCTCCAATTTCCAAAGCTCAGCAAGGGAAGGCAAAATACAATGTGTAAATATTTTTCAAGCTTTCATTTTCTAATGTCCTACAGGCCAAAGCAAGTCATAAGGCCAACTCCATATTCAAGAGTTAAGAGAAAAAGATTCTACCTCCTAATGGGAGAAGCTGCACATTGACATTACAGTGGGAAATGGGTTCAGGGAGGGAGAGAATTGGTGGCCATCTTTGCAACTTGCTATAGGACAGAAGGCAGTGACTATGAATGCAGATGTTAATAGGTGGGTAGACGTAACTGTGGGATTCTGGGGAAATTATCTTCTAAGTGTTTAATTTTCTCAGAGGTAAGGTCTCATGTTGAAAGCCCCTCATGTTGAAAGCCCATGCCAGCCTTATGTTGATTTATTCACTGATAATGAACAACAAAACTGTCAAGAGAACCAGGTGTGTATGGCAGCTTCTGGAGTCCACCTTTGGGAAAAATGTATCCTGGGAACCACCTAACCATGAAGTCTGGGACTCCTACAAAGGGATCTAATTGGATAACTGCTGGCTGATGTCATGGAGCCTGACAGCCAGATGCATCCATTCTTGAAAAGGTCAGACTTTCCAAGTTGATTAAAATATTCTATCTGCTAGGCACCCCCTGCTTTGGATAATGCTATATGGGTGCTGCTGCGCTCTGCTCTTTGACTATTTTCTCTGTGCATCAGCCTTTTATCCACCTACTCTCCACGACATGTGTTGACAACAAGGGTGCAATGGCTCCTGTTCTTCCTGATATGGTCCTGGAGGACATTGTGACTTCTCAAACATATTTCATCCCAACATTTACCTGATGAATCTTATTAATTTAACCGCCAGTGTTTGAGAGGTGTTGACACTTGAGGTTTTCTTTCTTTGAATATATAGATTTTTTTTCAGACCTCTATTCCTTTTGGACTTACAGTGTTTCCCTATAATTTTAGGCAATCTCATTTAGTGACTAAAAGCTTCTATTGGCCTGGTTTTATGATCGATGCATGACTTGATTATTTCAGTGAAATTAATTCCTCTCCTGTTTAGTATAAAAGTGTGCATGTGGAGGGGCTGGCTCCAGACAGGACCATGGATAGTCCAGCTAAAGTAAAGAGGGGTGTTTGGTTAGCTTTTGTGGCATAACAAATCACCCCAAAACTTAGTGGCTTAGCAGGATACTAATAATTTTAGAGAGATGAAAAATAATCCAAGGTCAGCTTTATGGACTGAATGTTTGTCTCTCTGCCTCCAAATTAGTGTGTTGAAGCCCTAACCATCACCACAATAATGGCATTAGGAGGTGGGAAGTAATTTGGTTTAGATGAGGTCATGAGGGCGAAACCCTCATGATGGTATTAGTGCCCTTACAAGAAAAACCCAGAGAGCTTCCTCTCCCCACCCCTACAACCCCCACTTCTCTCTCTTTGGCAAGAAGGTGGCTGTCTGCAAACCAGGA